AAGGCATATATCCAGTTCACCTGTAGTGACTATAGGTTTTATATAATTAGTTTAATAATTAGGTTAAATAAATTAGAAAAAAGACCTTAAGATACTGTATATACTTCTGGACTTAATTTTGAGCTGCAAATTATAAATTCACACTGTTTTGAAAAGTTGCTGAGAACAGTGTTTTCAGAATGACTTGCTTTTATAAGGTATTGCTTTTGGATATATATTAGACATAAAAATCTACTTTCTCTCACACTTTAGATTTAAATTTTTGGTTTAAAATGTTGTTGAATCTTCTGGTTCAACTAACTGGGAAACAGTTAATCCATTGATCTTACTCTACCTCTGTGTGTGACAGACTGACAACATAGTTTTATATAGTTACTTTACAATAAGATTAAAGGTGCAAAACGCAAGTCTCTGAGTTTTTGCAGAACTACGCCCCCTCTGGCGACAAGCGAAACTGCAACCAGAGTTGTGCACGCTCATGGACCACACGCATCTTTTATTGGATCTGTTTTATGTTTCATGTTGTACTATTCTTCCAAACACAATTCCTAGTTTATGAAACTGTTCACTAACAATGGTAGTAAAACCAATTCTGATTGTACATGTATCTAGCTTACGCTAAAGTATTACACATTTTACGCATCGTCATTTGTTGTCATACATAGATTGGCCGTATCAAACATTAGAGACTGGGCTATATCTTACCGTTTTATCAAGAAAAAAGCCAACTGAGGATCCCGTTTGAGACCAAGAGCAGACCGGAGATCTCTCCATTTGTTGAATGCCTTCCTCTCGTCTTACTCCGACGCCTGTCTGACTCCAATTTGGACCTTTTGGTGGCACTAGACAAAATTTTTCTTTTCTTTACTTTACGTGGAGTTTGCGTTGGGGTTTGGAATGGACTACAAGCCGGTCTCTTTGAATCCATCTTCTAACTTTGACGCACGAGTTGTCTTCGCTGATACGGAGAATGGCGGCGCCGGCGAATACACAAACCTGCGAGACATAGCCTGGTGAGCGTGAACGCGCATGACGTCACGCCCAGTCTCAAATTCGAGCCCGAATCCCTCTTATATATTTTACTGTACAGGATTATAGAGGCAATCTCAGTGCGCAGAGAAGGGCTCATTCAGCCCATCAGGCAGTTCTTTAAGCATGTATAGGATAGAAAAACAGGTATTTTTAACATGAAAAGTTGCGCAATGCACCTTTAATGCAAATATTAAAAAAATCTTAAGATAAATACTTATGGACTTACACAATTTTGAGCTGCAAATGATAAATTCACACTCATTTGAAAATGACCTATAACATTCTATGACATGATATTCATCTAAATGTTATTGATCTCGTGGAAGTGGCTGTTGTGGTTCATGGTCATAGTGGCACCAGCTGGCTGCAGTAAATGTGGCATATTCAAACGATTTTGACAGTTCTTTTACATTTACCCGCTTTATATGTACATTGCTTGTCATTCACAGTTGTACTAGTGCCACGGATGTGGCGGTGGCGTCAGGGTTTGGACCCATCATCACTGCATGCAGCTATATTTTTCTATTGTAATTTGATATACACCTATAAAAATGTGTTTATGTTTTAGACGAAGAGACGAGCTCATGGAATCGATCAGGAATTATAAACCCATGATGCCGTCTGTGAGTCGGGTCAGAATCCTAATGATCGGTCCTGTAGGTGCTGGAAAATCCAGTTTCTTTAATTCCATCAACTCCGTCTTTATGGGCCGCATGACCAGCAAAGCCATGTCAGGATCTGCAGGCACTAGTCTCACCACACAGGTACAGATTCAACAGGATTCATAGTGTTTCCTACAGAAGTGTCTCTTCAGGTCAAGAACAGCTCTTGATGACTTCAGGTCTTGATGTGTTTCTCTTCTTGGTTGGTAGTTTCGCACATACCCAGTGAAAGACGGCCGTGAAGGAAAGCCGTTGCCATTTGTGTTGTGTGACACCATGGGACTCGAGGAGCAATCGGGTGCAGGACTGGATATTGATGACATCAGCAGCATTCTTCAAGGTCACGTACCAGACCGCTATAAAGTAAGTGCACTGTTCTCCAGAATGAATGACGGTTGAAGTATGAATGATAAAATGTTCATTTCATGCTCAATCCTCAGTTCAACCCTACAACAGCGTTTCAACCGGATGAGCAAAAGGCCTCCAGACCTGCATCTCTACAGGAGAAGATCCACTGTGTGGTGTATGTGATCGACGCCACCAAAATCTCCATCATGTCCAGCAAACTAGAGGAAAAACTCGCTGCCATACGCAGAAAAGTGAACACACTGGGTGAGTGAACATATTAATGCCAATCATGTGACTAATCCAAAGTAGGTTGTACATTGAGCTAGCTGATAGTTGCATGTGATGTGACACACCTCATTATTTTCAGGCATTGCTCAGATCGTCTTGATGACAAAAGTAGATGAAGCATGTCCTCTAGTGGAGGAAGATCTTCAAAGCATTTATGCCAGTTCCTACATCAAGACGAAGGTGAGACATGATCACATGATCACATGATCTGTTCCCACAGGACTCAGAGTGACTGCCATGTTGTTTTGTCTCTGCAGGTGCAGGAGGTGAGCTCTCGGTTGGGTGTGCCGGTGTCTTGTGTGTTACCGGTGAAGAACTACAGTCAGGAGCTGGAGCTGGAGCTCAACTGTGACGTCCTGCTTCTCACCGCTATACAGCAGATGCTCAACTTTGCAGACGACTATCTGGATGATGTTGGTCACACAGAGAGCCACCCCATATAACGCGCTGCTGTTATTTAATTTCCTCAACTATTCTGAGGCCAGATTTGTGTTTGAGACTAAAATGTAAAATTTGTCTGCAACAAATATAACTCACTTGGACATGTAAACCACAATCACAGATTATTTGAGTTAATGTCGAACATGTAACGAACACAAAGAGTTCTGTTGTTACAACCTGCTCCCAGTACTTGTAACACTAGCTGGGGATAGATGTAGATGTAGCATTTGCTGTAATCACATTTATGCAAGAATGTTATTAAAGAACAAAGAATAATCTGTTTTGAATAAAGTGAACAATTTTTCTTTCAGAGACTTACATGCAACACGCCGGATATTTAGTTACTGAATGAATCCACGTTTTTTTAACAAATCAAGTGAGGGGTTTTAGTTTAATATTTAGAGTATCATATATTGCTTGAGGGTTTCTTGTTGTTTATCTGATGTTCCTGTTCTCTTCACCCATTAAAGCATTTGTCCACCATCATGCCAAGGTCCACCTTGTCATCTTCATCTTTTATGAAAATAAGCAAATTATTTTAACAAGTTTTCAAAACCTTTTGTGTTATTTCTTTATAAAGAATTGAGGGGCAGTTAATTTTGTTTTAAAGTTTGGTAACACTTTATTTTAAGGTGACGCAGTTACACGTTACTACTAATACTACTGATACCACGCATTGGACGCTTCGTCATAAGAGGAGTATTTCTTTAATGTTTACATAAAATTATGTTACAAAAATAATAAACAATTTTATTATACAAATAATGTCTACCCTTGCACTGTCCTATAAAATAAAGGCAAGAGTCTAAAATATACCTTGAAAAAATTATAAGGAGAGAAATAAGTGAAGCTGAGATACTACCAGAAAAGATAAATATACAGACAAAAGCTGAATTAGCATTACTGTTTATTGAAACAACGAAAGGTGTGAATCAAATGAAACATGGACCAAGAACCATATGTTTACTGTCAGATAGTTACTAGACAGACGACATCAGCAGGCTGGAACAGTGGAACAGATGAAGCAACAATAAACCAGACGCAACATCTTCCATCCTGTAGATTACTATATAAAAACACCTGTAACCAGCATTATCAATTCATATTAAACTGACATCTCTTTCTTAATTTGTAGAATTAGTTTGGCATTTTTAAATCACAGTTTCAAAAATGACAAAATAGAAGACAATAAACTTTTTTTTTATATCTGTGTAAATATGGTGACTTGTTAGCGTGAATAAGAGCCATGCAGATTATTCAAATCCGCTTGGTGAAATACAACACGTATAGGAAAACTATTAATAAGGACATCCTGACAAATAGCAGATGAAATTGATTGCAGGTGTACACTTTGACTCCATATGGCTTTTAAGAGGCTCGGACATCTTGACAAGTTCGTGATTTCTGCATGGCATCTGTCACTGAATCGCTCATGTATACCTGTTAAATAACATAAAATAAACAATATGTGCAGCTTGGCATGAGTATCGTGTGGCCATCGCGACGTGAAAGCTTTGCGTCGTCTGATGAATTACGTGCTCACTGCGAATCCGTCTATGAACAGTCTACAGCAACGGAAAACTACGAGAATGGACGGAAGGGGAATGTCACGGGGTGCTTGTTTCCATACGTGGTCTATATTTGCTGTGCTTTTCGGTATTTGACATTTATAAAGAGGACATTCATATTCAAAATCGTAAAAAATAATGGAACACTTTCCTTTCAGAACTGTACAAGATTAAAATAAAAATCAACATATAGTTATACATATTTATATGACAAAACTGTTACATTTATTATTTCTATATAGAAAAACAAAAAAAATTTTTTTTTTACTTTTAACGGTAAGCAGAATGCAGTATTCCCTCGGAGTAAAGCAAAACAAAACAATTAGACTCTTTAAACTGACGGTCTAGAGGTCATGGTTTATGTACTTGCATGCCAGAACTGACAGTTTACTAACAAAAAGTCAATCCACAGAAGTGGATAACGGGGTGAACGTGGGTAAAAGTAATAATAAAAGTTACTCTGGTACTTGTTAATATCCACTAGGTGGCATCGCAAGCAAAGAAAATTGTAACAGTAGTAAGTGCATCTGGATGGAGGTTTGTTCAAGTCCTTCATTAGTCCATGCGAGGGAATACTGCATTGCTATGTTGTGTTGCTAGTAGTGTTCATTAGAGAGCTTGTTTTCTACTCCGATTGGCCAAGCGGAAGGGTCACGCTCCTCTACTGGCCCTCTTTGGGTGAGGAGGGTGACTGGTTACCGGAGGTATTCTTGAGGTTGCCCAGTGTTTTACTGAACCAGGAGTTTTTGGCAGCTTGAACCTCAGTCATCAAAACGCCCCTCTGGTGCTCCAGCTCCTGGTACATAACATTAACAAATTATATTTAAGTTACTGTAAACTGACATGGCTGTAAACTGCCAAGTAATATTTACAGCATTTGTTAGCCGAGTTTCTTTGAAAAGATACGACAGCAGCTTTTTAGTTGCCACAAAAAAATAAAGGATAAAGTCAAAGTTTTGAGAATAAAGTCTTAACAGTACAAGATTACATGTGTAATAGTTTGAAAATTAAGTCAAAAAGACAAAAATAAAGTAAGAATTATGAGATTAAAGCAAAAGTTTGTGAGCAAAGTCATAAAATTACGAGATTTAAGTAAAAATGACAAGAATAAAGTAAAAATAATGAGAATAGTCAAAATTATGAAAGTAAAGCAAAATTACATGGAAGTCGTAACAATATGAAATTTAAGTCAGAATTATGTGAACAAAGTTGTAACATTATCAGATTTAAGTAAAAAAATTATGTGAATAAAGTCGTAACATAATGAAATTTAAGTCAAAATTATGTGAAACATGAGATTTAGGTCAAAATTACATGAACAAAGTTGTAACATTATGAGATTTAAGTCAAAATCATGTGAACAGAGTTGTAACATTATGATATTTAAAGGTATTGTAGGTAGAATTTTTTTTTTTAACTTTTTGCCAAATTTGTTTAAACTTTCTATATATATCAATGCATAATTAAAATGTAAGTACTCTGGAAAAGAGAGTATAAAAATCGAGTGTCTGTAGTCCTCTCAGGGCTGTAATAAACACAGCTACTTATCTCCATTCACTTCCACCCCCTCCATTCTGGGCTCCTTCCAAAACCACGCCCCCAAAACACATGAACGCGCGATGCCGACAGCTCACAGCTGGAGGACGCGCTTACCAGCGCCGAGCGGAGAGGAGCAGTGCATGTAGTGACATCATGTCAGACTCACATGTAATAAAATACCTAACTTTATCATTATGAATATAAACAACTAACATGGCTGTTAGTAGCCTACTCACTATCAAGCTAGCATATCGATACTGGTAAAGTTTAAAATATATTGAGTTTGATTCGTTAACGAGCTAGTAACATAAAGCAAAGCTAAAAACAGGTTGCATTGATACACGTTTTCCCATTACAATCAGTTACACTGTGATGAAGGTGAATTTCGTGTAAGATTCATAACATATACGCCGTGTTTTGCATGTAATTGTGTCTCTTACTAGTCTCTTACCCTCCTCGAGTCAAACGAGTGCGCGCATGTGGGCAGCGCATGTAGCAGCGGGGGTGTTGCCATGGTTGCGAGAGAGTGACAGTCGCCTAAGCCAATCCTTTGTTTCGTCCCGGAAGGAAATAATGAGCTGTGTTTAGTGCAGATTAAACGGTCTAGAGTCACTCGATTTTTATACTCTTTTTATCAGAGTACTTACATTTTAATTATGCATTGATATATATAGAAAGTTTAAACAAATTTGGGAAAAAGTTTTTTAGACCAAAAACGACCTACCCTACCTTTAAGTCAAAATCATGTGAATAAAGTCGTAACAGAGATGTAAGTCAAAATTGCGTGAAAGTTCACAGGTAAAAAAAAAAAAAAAAAAGAAAGAAAAAAATCACAGGTAAGTCAAAATTCAGAAAATAAATTGTAAAATTCGATAAAAGTCAAAATTATGTGAATCAAGACGCAACACTGAAATTTTAGTAGTAACTTTTGAAAATAAAGTTTCAATTTTGAGCAAAAAGTTAGAACTACAAAGTTGGAATATGAGAAGTCATAAGAAAATCAATATTAAAGTGACGTAGTGAAAACACAACTATTCTCAAAATGTTACAAATAGTAAATGTTATGACTTTACTACTGTTAACCTGGCACTAAAATGTAGTGAGATACAACTATATCTATAAAACACTGATTTCAAATATGTTTATTGTAAACTAATAAGTCCGTGGTTTAGAACAAATTTCTCCCTTTAAACAGATAAAAGTTGATTGTACAAATCTATCTTCACCGTGACGACTGACCTGGATCTTGCACTTGGCCTCCACCAGCTGGAGTTTGGTTTGCGCCAGCTCTAGCTCTAGCTCTCTCAGCTGGGCCTTGAGCGAGTCCTTCTCCTCATCCATGTCTGTGTCCCGGTTGTCCTGACTCACCGCAGGGATCTGCAGGGGTCCGTCTTTGCTGAACACTTCCCTACAGCGCTCGCACGCCATCACTTTAGCCTGGAGGAATGAGAGATATGATCGCCACATACTCAACAGACCACAGTAGAGAACTCAAAGACTAGTTACTCACCTTAACTATATCCAGTTCTTCTTTTGTGGACGCCTGCTGTTTCTCCAGCCTCGTACTCAACTGGGAACATATCTAACACAAACAAAAAGACCATATTTCAGATCTTATTATACGCCATCCATCACAATAAATACTAAAAAAGACATGTACGGTCCTGAAGATGTTATTTTAGTATCATTGAGATACTATTATAGTTTTTATTTCTAGCTTGAATTCATTTTTTGTTATATTTTACAATTTCGATTTAGTTGAAGTTTTAGCCATTTTTGTTGTTTTTATAATTTTTATCTATTTCTATAATGTTTTTAATTCAGTTCTAGTGTTTAGGTATTTTAGTACATCAATAAAAAATAAATAAAAAATGTTTCTTGGCAAGCAACTAACTGAAATAAAATAAGTTTATATTGTAACATTTTATTTCAGTCATGTTGTTTTAGTGTTATCCGGATTTTTTTTTTTTTTTTTTTTTTTACTAGTTTGAAAGTTTTTTTTTATATTTTCCATTTTCATTCGATATTGAAGTTTTTGTAATTTTTGGGTCAGGACCCACCCCATCTGAGGGTTGTCCCCCCTAAAAATATCATTAAAAACCATACTGTGTATTGTAAATAATATAATGATATATACTTAAATCGTTTGTAGTGTTTTACTACGTACAGAATAATTTTAAGTTCAGAAACATTTGGAGTCCCCCCTCCCTTGCCTCACAGTGCTTTGGTCCACTGGCTGCTTTCCACCTTTCCCTCACCTACACACACACACCTACACACACACCCACACACACACCCACACACACACACACACCCACACCCACACCCACACACACACACACACACACACACACACACACACACACACACACACACACACACACACACACACACACACACACAAACACACACACACACACACAAGTGTGGTGGGATAGTTCTTCAGTAGTTGTGGAACTCGCTGTCAAGGCGATCGTATTCACTTTACTCATCGGATGGAGTGATTCTTTTCTCTTTAATACAGATGATGCTGTGTCATTAAAAAATTAGTCATGACCAAAAAAAAAGATGATATCCGATGTATTTTTACATCGAAACCTAAAATACTATGTGGATGACACAAGATAATTTAATTATTATAATATGACCGCATGCTGAATCTATGAACCTAACTCATATTTACACAACTATACCTTTGTGTAAGCTACAAGTACAATTTTGACTGTATTATTTGTGTTCCCTTTAAAAATTGCTCGAGAATGTTTTTGTTTATTGTCCCTCTCTACTGTTTAGATGACATGATTTCACTTTTAGTTATTTTAGTACATCAAGTTAAATTAAAATGGAAATTAGATGTTTCCTTCGCAACTAACTGAAATAAAAAGTAGTTTACATTTTTTAAACATTTTATTTATTTTAGTATATTTTTATTAATATTTTGAAATACCATTGATCCCATGATTCCATTTTGATTGTAATTAAATGTAGTAGTTTTGTTGTTTTTGTCATTTTGATTTCAAATTTAGTTTTAGTTATAACTAAATGAAAGTATTATTTTTTCTTTTTCAGTTAACATTTATTTTATTTCAAGCAACAAATGTTTTTTTTTATGGTTCTAGTTTCAGTTAATTATAATAACCCTGATTCAGTTATCATTTATCTTATTTCAATATAATCCCACTGCCCTGAAGTGTGGGGTGATTATGGGATTTCTAGATATGTCTGGGACACTCAAGCATACCTGTTTATACTCTGCTATGATAGCTGTGGTCTTCTTGATCTCGAACTCTGCTTTCTCCAGCTCTCTCCTGAACACTTCCTTCAGCTGAAAAGCAAAAACAGTCTCGTTCATGTCTGTAGCAGTTAAGTTTAATACTACATAGAGCCCTCGATCCTCGTACCTGTGCCGTCTCCTCCTCTTGTCTTCTCTTCTCCTCCTCGGTCTCTACCAGACGTTGTTTAGTGTTGAGCAGTTCCTTGTTCAAAACGTCAGCTTTGTCCTCGGCCTGAGAATGCAGATCTTTTAAACACACAAGATCTAACCAAAAGCCGATGTATAGTGTGTTAACTAGTGTAGAAATACCTGGTCCAGGTCATTCCTCAGTGCTATCTTGCTGGTCACCAGTTCATGGGCAAGATCATCGTTCTCCTGCTCCAGACGCATGCTGGCCTCCTGCAGTCGCCGGTTTTCTCTCTGCAGGGACACATACGCAGTTCATTTATTACTTTATGCAGGTTAACAGACGGAGACTGAAAAGACTGCGAGGCTAGCTTTGCACAAGCTACAGACTCAAATTTCCCAAGCACTCACATGTAAGCATTACAAATGTGTATGAAAGTACATGATTGTGTAAACTGCACCGTTTTGCAATACATGAATGCAACAAATTAAAAGGACATATACTAATTTTGTCACTAAAATTCTCCAATGACTGTTTCAATATTTTGACAGTTACTCATTTTTTTTCGTCAGCAGAGCATATTTTTTATTTTATTTTTTTAATAAAATGCTATTTTAGAAGATTTTTTTTTACTGTTTTTATACTTCTTTATTTCCAATTATTATCTTATATATAGTAAACAAATATATAGTAGTAAAATATTATAATATCATTTAAAATTATAGATAATAAATTAATTACTAAATTAAGATAATTATAGGAAATAAAGTAGTATAAAAACAGTAAAATAATTCCAAAACAAAAAATCTTCTAAAACAATGAAATATTGTAATAACAGTAAATATATATCTACATATTTCATAGAGTAAATAAAGTAACATAATTGAATAGATAAATTATATAAAATTATAAAAGATTATTATTATAATAAAAAATAGTTAAATTAATAATAGCAAAAAAATAGCACAAATATATAAATTACTAAAAGACTATATAATAATAGTAAAAAAACAAAGATCAAGTAATTAATAGTCAAATAAATAAATATAATAATAGTAAAAAAGTGCATAAAATAGTAGAAGATTATAATTATAAAATATTAGATAGGCAAATAATATAATAATGGCAAATAAAGATAACAATAGTAAAAAAAAATTGCAATTCTAAAAATATTATATAGTAATAAGTTAAGATAACTGCAAATAATACACAAAAATGTGGGATAATAATAATAGTAAAAAGATGATAAAAAAGTAATTAATTGAGATAATAATAGCATGATTACAAAAATTATAATTAAACGTATATAAAATGGTAAATGAAACGGCTCACATAGAATCGGCAATAGTAATTTAGTCAGAAATTGAATGCATTCATGCATGTTTGTATATGAAATATTCCAAAAATAATTTAATTTGAATTATATTCCACATAACTCATAATTTAGTAGACTATCCCTCCCAAATAAAAGCAGGAAACACACAAAAAGCTGCACACTGACTAAAAAACTTGACACTATAGGAGCCTAGGAGCCATATGTAAAGAGACTTGGATAACAAGCTGATCTAGGAACAGTTTTTCACATCCAGTCTTGAGAAATCACACTAAATGACCACAGTGTGACTTCTGCATTGCCTGATTAGAGAGCTGGCGTTGTCACAGGGAGTCTCCCACTGCCTCACATGACACACATTTCCTTATCAGGAAGGGGAAAGCTGTCATCTGACTTCCATTTACAAACACACACAAACACACACATTGCTGGTTAGGTTGTGCACAGCAGTTAATGTAACATGGAAGGCTTGAGGTCATCATTTCAAATGGATCATCAGAGAAACAAACACACATGCAGGCAGATGTTAGTAGCCAATGAGCGCTGGTGGGCTGAAGGCTTACCTGCACCGTCGACCCCAACACAGTGAATACTACACCCACTAGAACAAGAACACCGCAGAGGCCTTCCCCATCCAGCACCGCTCCACACATACAACACCGCCTGTCCATGCTCCACCCCCCGCCACAGATCATTGGTTAAATGGGTGAGTGAGGGAATCTCATTGGTTAGATGGGTGAGTGAGGGAGAGGGTAAACAGGAAGTGACAGCAAGGAAACCACTGAGTAATGGAGCTTCCTTTAATAGCATGCTTGGCTTTTTAACACTGCACGTTGCTTGTGAAAGCACACATTCATACAAATATTTTAAAAAAAAATTATACATATCGCTTAGGATTACACATATTATTTCTTTTCATGTGAAGAATATAAGCTTAAAAAAGTAATACATTCAAATAAATGCGATCAATTTAAATAAAAAAGCATGTTTTTTTGCCTTTTAAACATTTGAGTTACTGTAAACATGAGACTTAAATGTGCCAACAAAAACACAAAAGCTATGTGACAGCCTTTTTTTTTAAATGTATGATAAAAAAATAAACAAGGCACTTAAATAAAAAAATATGTCACTTTTTCCTTCATTTAAATGCTCAAAAAATAAATTAAAAATATTTGGTGTACAAAACTAGAATCTACAATGCGAATGTTTGGCGAGTGTTTAGCTCTTTCCCTGCGACGTACAGCGTCTGTGGTTTCCAGTGCAGCCCGCTACACAGTCCTGAACTGAGACAGAGTGAGACGAAGATGAAGATGAACGTAGGAGGTGAGGATGAGGACTGGAGGAGGGGAGGCTAAATCAGGTTCCTGCTTACCTGATATCTGTCTATTGGGTCTTCCTGCTGCAGCTGGCTCTCTTTCAGAGACTGATACTCCTTCTCAAACTTCTTCAGCTTCTTTGTCGGCACCTAAGGAAGACAGGAAATCAGAGATCAGGTTGGTAAAACGTACAACATCTCACAAAAAACATCCATAAATATGTTGTTTAATACCGTATAAATAAGTCAAAGCTTCCTCCACCAAAGAATGTATACACAATTACATACGCATTTACCATTTAAAGGGATAGTTCACTCAAAAATGAAAATTCTGTCATTACTCACTCGCCCTCATGTCGTTCCAAACCTGTAAGACTATCGTTCATCTTCAGAACACAGATGAAGATCTTTTTTTGATGAAATCTGAGAGCTTTCTGTGCCTCAATTGACAGTCTACGCAACTACCACTTTCAAGCCCCAGAAAGATAGTAAAGACATCATAAAAGTAATCCATCTGACTCCAGTGGTTAAACCTCAATTTTATGAAACGACGCAAGTGCTCGGTTTATGCAAAAAAGTATTAATCTCCAATGTGCGCTCATGCAACAATGTCTGCTCTCGAGTCAACACAACATGTGCTCTTGTGAACATGTGTTGGAGATTAATATCACAACATATTAATATATAACAACATATGTGTTGGAGATTAACAGTTGTGTAGGATTTCAATAAAGGGACAGAAATCTCTCAGACTTCATGAAAAAGATCTTAATTTGTGTTCCAAAGATGAGCGAAAGTCTTACAGGTTTGGAACGATATGAGGATGAATAATTAATGACAGAATTTTCATTTTTGGGTGAACTATGCCTTTAACATATTATATCAATTACATTTAATTTAATTTTAATTAATTATACTACAGGACTGTTGAATGCTTGGTTCTGATTGGTTGACGAACGTTTAAGGTGTGCACTTAAGGCACAGCTAAAGTTGCAGGCCGGTCTTGGCCGCATTACAGACCCTTATCACTTCGCCAAATTTTCTAAATATGCAAAAACAAAATATGTTTTACTGTATTATATACAAAAAAAAAACATTCTTTTTCAACATTTCATGAAATGTTACAACGTAACTTAAATATAAATAATATGTAAAAACGTACAAAATATATAAAGACTATTCACTACTATAAAGAAAGTAAAATTCTAAGTAAAAATCATTATAGATATTATTATTATTATTGACAGGGTAGGGCATTACTTAAAATATCAAGAGTACAAAATAAAAGGGAGGAAGGTCAAACTTACAAGATAAAGCGTATATTATATTATATAAACATGTCTCATTATTGTCAATGGTGCAAACATTAGTGCTGCTTAATATTTTGTGGAAACCGTGATAGACTACCGTTCACTACCATTTTTTTTTTTTTTAGAGAATTGATTGAATTAAATGTATCAAAAGTGACAGTAAAGACATTTATGATGTTACAAAAATATTTATATTTCAAATAAATGATTCCCTTTTGGACTTTCTAATCAAAGAATTCTAAGCAGCAAAAACACTGATAATAGGACCCATTAATTAATAAATCAGAATCAATAATAATTGAGCACCAAATCAGCATATTAGAATGATTTTTGAAGGATCATGCGACACTTATGTCTGGAGTAATGGCTAATATATAATTTTTCCACATACAGTATTTGGTAAGACACTAATCGACAAACAACGTGCAGCATTATGAGCTTCAAAAACCAAATGATGCCCTTTCTACACTTCCTTAAAAAGCAAAACCATCTCAGGAGGCTTTAAAAGCGCAGCGCTCCTGTCTGTTGCTGTGGCAGCTTAGCCCGAGTTAGCATGGAGTCTCTGAGGGTGGAGCGCGCTCAGTGAAGCCAGTCCTGAGGGGATCTCTTCATCCGGGTTTACTCGCTGCTTTACTGCAGGGGACTTTGTTTATTACAGTCTTCATTCAGCAGGTCTGGGATCAGTTTTCATAAAGCCTGTCATAATTGGCTACTTCATTTGAGTTTGAAACTGCTCACACACAAAGCAGAAATGTGTACTGCCACCACAACAGCATTTTGAGGGCAAACAAACAGAAGTTTGGGGTTTCCACAAAACATGCTTGAAAAACGTTTATCATATCAACAGAGTTTGCACTTGGGAAAGTCATTTTGAATCTCCATGTTTCTGCTTTATTCAGTTCTAAAAAACACAAAGGAGCCTTCTTTTTCTCTTATCTCTATCTGCATCACTTCTTCAGAACAGCAGCTCATTGCTGACCGTCATCCGTGATACCATACAGTGTGTTTGACCTCTGACCTCAGGATGAGGGTCGCTGGAGCAAGAAACTGTTGCACCACTTGTGTTATCAACGAAGCCACAATGGCACTCAAGGCTTTTTTGTTGTTGTTGGGGAAAGCAGTTGTAACGATGACAAGTCAAAAGCTTGCGCTTGAGTAAGCTGACTTCTCCTTTTGGGAAAAAAGGTTTCAAACAGCCACCTTTGCCTTTCTACTCCAGCACAAAGTGTCCGTTGTACTGTTCGGAGGAATGTGAACATGATACAAACTCTTCAGAACAGAGTCAACTAGGAGGATAAGCAAACAATTGATTCATAATATCAGGACAGCAAATGAAGAGAGACAGAAAAAGAGAAAGAAGGGGTTTTGGGTGGATGCTCTAGGGAACTGGGTTATTGCTAGGCCATTTCTAGGGGATTCTGGGTGGTTGCTTGGGCCTCACTATGTGTGTTCTAGGGAGCTTTGCTAGTAGTCCAAGTCTAAAGAGCCCATCTCCAAATCTCTATGATATTATGGTGTCTAGATATCTCATAAACTCGTTTTCTCTCTATTTTAACAAAAATTTGAAATACACAAGGTATGTGCCAAAGTTTAATACTTATGGTTAGGCTTAGTGACGCTTGCCTTAGAGACAGAGAGGAGGAAAAAGGAACAAGCAGCAGCCTATTAATCTGACAGCCAGGGGTGCAGATAGGAGACCAGGCATCATTAGATGAAGAGATGTTAGAAGAACACGCAGTCCGGATGTGCTGTGTACAGCCACAGACCACAGAATGACATGTTAAAATGGCACAACCAACATGGAAGTCAAGTTTCAGCACAAACATTCATTCGGTTTAACACTCACAGCCTTATACATATGGAAAGTTTGTCAGGGAGGTTTCACCTCAACAAACGTGGTCGGTGTAAATGACGAGTTTATATATACACAGAACACCTACACAGGTATGAACGAGTAGCTGATCTCCATTTTCCATTCAAGTTGACATTAACAGCACATGTTAGTGATTTCCCACCAGTACATAGTGTAAAACAGTTGCTGTGGCAGTTTTTAGTATAAGTTATTGTTGTTACAAACAAAGCAAGAACTGCAAAGCTTAATTTTGGTTTACTGGAATTTGTTAAACCAGTGCATTTGCCCGGACAATTTTTGAATATTCAGGTCACTAGGCTCATCTGAGTATTCAAAACATCTACTTGAGAGGAAAAAAAAAAGTCACAACATGCAAAATTGCATTAGGTCGACAGACATTCGCTTGCTCCTGGACACAGCCATGTTCTTCTTATTACCAACACACACACACACGGTATTTTCAACTCCAAGTTGGCATTCCTTGGAATAAGAAGATAATGGGGAAAATTGTACAGCCTTGTAATTTCATTACAGGATATTTCTCACAGAGTGGAAAGCCAGAGACAGTACCAGCTCTACAAGAAAAAGGCTTGTACAACAAAACTAGATGGCATTCTTGCTGCCAAATCAAAATTTTTTTAAAGAAAAGAGAGAAATAAACCAGTAAAAAGCCATTTGAGTGAGACTTACCACCGGTTTAGGTTTGGAGTTGGCCACCAGACTGGCAAAGAAATCCTCTTCATTAATCTGATTGATAACGTGAGCGTCGTAAGCCACCGTTATCGACACTTCCTGCATCATTTTGGCAAAGTTTCTGCGAGGAGCACTGAGCGAGACAGGTGAGCTTCGAGAAACGAAGGAGGGAGGGAGGAAGGAAGGAGGAGGAGAGAGCTGACAAGTCTGCCGAGACCGGGACCAGTTGAAAAGTTTTTTACGGGTGAAAGCCAGCCTCTTGAGGCGGGAAATAAATGCAGGGGGGATGAACCATAGAGAATCACGCACTCTCAAAAACACACCTGGTTTTGTCTTCCAAGGATTGTGTATTTCGCTCAGTTCCTTCAAAGCGATGAAGCTCTGTGCTCGTCCGCAGACTCTAAATTGCAAGTTGTGCAGGCATGACTCTTACCGCCACGGTCTCATGGGTAGCGGTGGTTACCACTGGAAATATGAAGAGCGAGGCAAGCGGAAAAGGTTGAGAGGAAGGGGGAATTTGGGTTTGTCAGACAAACCACAACGGGGTCTTCTAACTCCCCTGGTAGTTCTCGCTTTATCTTCTCATCTAACTGTCCGGATCTCGTTTATTCTCCCAAGAAGACCTGAAGCCGGTCTGTTCATGGTTTAATAAGTATCCAAACGCAAACATCTACAAGCCAAAGACTCAAGATGGCATGTACCGGAGTTCTCCAAGGCTGATTCCTCTAAGCCGTTTCCAGTCTCCTTTCGTTTAATTCCCCTTTCAATATCAAGAGGATGTGAAATTTGGAATTTGCCTCGTAATCCGCGGTGGGGGAAGTTCATACAGCTTGTGCTTTCGACGGGAGCAGGTGCCTTTGAATTCCATCACTCTGTAAGCGTATTACCCGGCGACTTGATCCTCTTTAAATTCACACCACTTCAAACAGAAACGACCGCTTTGCATTTCCTCTTCTTACACATGTGATTGGAATGGTCGTGATCACGGATGGTAGAAATAATCTGTGCACAGCCTCGTGGTTTATGTGTGTGGTGTCTGGTGTCCAGGTCTGATATGGAGATAACAGGCTTCACAAGGCTTCCTGTCCTTGCCACATAATCTCCTCCCTCCTAGCCGTATCATAAAAAACATCCAAACGACATCCCAGTGGCAGAATCTTCCAGAAACCAACAAGATCAGTGTAAAAAGGGAAACGGTGAGTATAAAAATAACAGTTTTTGAGGTGGAATGGCAGTCTAAACGTCGTTTATTCGCCCACTCCAGCGCTGATTCTGGATGAAACACCTCATTGATCTGCTCTCCTGCTTGCCTTTCACTTTTGTTTGCAGAAGATAAAGAGGAAAGTGTGACTAAGTACACATTTGCACACACACGGGCGCCAATGAGGCGTGGTCAGCGCAGATGCTGGGAGCAATGACGGTGCAAACTCATTTATGTGGGCAAAACGCCACTTGTCATGATGACGAGAAAATCCAGTTGCAAAATAAGAGGGATCAAACGGCTTGTGCTTATGGTCTTCTCTCGGAAGGAACAAAAACAACAGACTTGAGCAAATTGCAAACAGAGTGCCTGGTGTAAATGTTGCAGGTGTAAACCCATCCTTCTCTTTAGGGAGTGGAAGAGACGTGGCTCAAGGGAGCATGTAGGTGGGTGTGGACTTTAGGGAGTTGAAAATGCCATACAAGGGAAAACAAAGGATAGTAATCCTAAAGACTCTGGTGTAAAATGAAGCTGGTCTCTCTTCGCTTAATCATTTGTAAGCTGATGAATGCACCTGTTACATCACCTCACTCAGATGCTGGTTTCCCACAGAGTGCATCTGACTCTCTGGTTTCTAATTTCTCTCTCGCTGTGTCCAAAATGCTGCCAATACATGGTTCTCTGTCCAATCTCAGAGAATAGTCAATATAGCACAGGACATGAGATACTGATTTACTTATATATATATATATATATATATATATTATATATATATTCAGAGAGAGAGAGAGAGAGAGAGAGAGAGAGAGAGAAATCAATCATATGTAAAAGTTATATTTTACATAAAAGTAATATTTTTAGGACCAGAAATATTTTTTTTTGCATTGTGACATTATTATGACGCAAGTATATTTTGCCTCAAAATTAAAATCTCCTGATATGTTTAACTGTTTAAGTTAAGTTAAAATCAGCAAAAACTAAAAGCACAAATTATTACATTACAGCCTATAGCCGCTGAGAGGCTAAGCAGCAGGAAAGAACCCATGACGTGTTCCCATGCGTTTAAAATCCATGAACGTTTGTTGACATAGTGATATGCAGATAGAAAACACTTGACAATCAGAAACTATTAGAAACGATAGAAATGGTCACCAGAAAGTGGGCGTTCATGGCTACTCACCCCCTCTCTACACGGCCTATCTAAAAACAGTAAACACTACCAGGTAAATACCCACCTACACCCAACTACCCGGAAATGTATACTCAAAATACAAAATAAAAGACAAATATTTTCTGCGCTTACAGTAACATTACAAAATAATTTATTATGTTTTATTTAAATTGAATTATTTATTTAAATAATTATATTTATAAAAAATATAGATATATACAGAAAATTTAAAGAAAGCCTGCTTTTATTTACATGAAAACTAAGCACATTATATATATATATATATATATATATATATATATATATATATATATATATATATATATATATATATATATATATATATATATATATATATATATACGATTCACTCAGTATGCACAGACAGGAGACATATTTATCTGGATACTTAGTAGGCGCATCCAAGAAAATATCCCAGAAAATATCATAATTAGCAACACTGTTTGGACAAAACATTCTCAATGATGTCTGAATTAATTGCAGTGTTCTAACAGACATTCCTAGTTAAACACTGCATTATACAATTACTGCATTACTGAAGCACAGCAGTGAGTGACTGGAGGCACAGGAAATCCTGCTGTTAGTGCATTTACAGAGAGGAGAGAGAGAGAGAAATACAAGGGAGGGGATGAACTCAGTATCATCTCGATCTCTACTCCTCCTTCCTTCCTGAACACGCACACTCAACAACACACCCCTGCCCCAAATAAAATGTAATCTATGAAAGAGGCACTAACTCCAGAAGAAAGTGGGTTTAGAGTGTATAGACGTTGTGTGGAATGGGTTTGAGGCAGAGAATTGTGTTGTTTATCCTTGAGTCCTAACGCCACCTTGCCTCAAAGGAGCCTTGAAACGCAGACAAGGTCTCTGCATTCTCTGAATAACTGCATGCTAGCTCTGTGATGTAGCGCTTCAAATTTCTCAAACAATGCAAAAGCAACCTGGAATTGCATAATTAACTCCTTCAATACAAGTCCATAAGTTTTCACCCATTTCATCATCTGTAAATCTGACCGCTTAGACAACTAACAGCACACCTCTTCACTATAAACAACACAATTTGGTATGTCATTCATGTTCAAAGCATAAACAAGTATAAATTGCTTCAATATAATATTTATGGCTGTGGGTTTGTTCAAATAAATAGAAATTAACTAATACTGGCACTAAAATGATAGCAAATGATCAAATAAAATAAATGATTAATAAATGCACATAGTTTCTGATGGTGAGTGCTTTGAAAGTTGTTTCGAGTTGTTTTTTACCTTGATATTGCAGGCCTGCTCCATAAGGCGCCGGGCATTCTCTGCCGCCCTATAGCGTTTCGGGAGCTGGACCCGGAAAAATTTCAGCGCACCCTCAAAGTCGGCCTGCAGCAGATCTTCCTTGGAGGTCTGCATTTAGACAGAAAAACAGAACTGGTTTAGAGTCATTTCAGGAAATCAACCTAATAAGCAGCCTGAAAAGGAACTTAGCCTGTGATTATTTTCCGTATAGTGCTTGCATTGCCCTTTTATGATGTGAACCGGACATTAAGCAGAATTCAAAAGACGAGTGTTTGTGTCATAATTTGCCACCTCTGATATTACAGCCTATTTGCAACTATTAAACATCGCCATTTATTCAGTGACAAAAAGAGTAAGGAGACTTGCACAGTTACAACATCATGACGAGGGAAGTACCAATATTAAAGGCATGGCCAATAGTGATAAGCTAATATCATTTTTATTTTATGGCCGACAAGCGATATTTGGCCAAACCATAAATCTACACTTTGCTACCAAAAAAATAAAACGTTTGTATGCTGCAAGTGAATGTATTGCATTAAAGCATTATGAAAAAATAAATATACATAAAAAAATAATAGATTGTTGTAAGTGACTTCAAGGCATTAAATTAATTAATTAAAATAAAATAAAAATGTTGTTGTATGCTGCAAATAAAATTAAGGCATCAGTGTTATTAATACAATAATAAATAAATAAAAAAGCTTTAAAATAAACATACCGGTAATAGTTAGTATGCTGCAAGTGAACTTAAGACATCAAAGCATTAAATACTTGAATACTAAAAAGCATAAATTTAATAATTAATTAAAACATTAAAACACTGTTTGTATACTGCAAGTGAACTTAAGGCAATGCATTATTAATAAAATATGTTGCTGATATAATTAAATCAAAAAAGACATTGTGAAACAATTGCCTTCAACAGGATGACAAATAAAAGCCCTTTATTACATAAATGCATACAAAGGTCTCACAAGCAACCTGATAAGAATCACATATTATATGAAAGATGTAAACAAAGATGAGGATGACTTCTATTTGCAGCAGCTGCCCCTCACCGCCAGCAGTCGGGGCACAAACAGGCGGTGACCCATGCCTAGCAGCCCCATGACTCTATCAGAAGAGTCATTGACCGGCCCAGCCTTGTCCTCTCCAGCGGCCCCTTCCTCAAGCCTCCTCATGGCGGGTGGGATCTGAGCCCATAGAGGCGGTGAAGGCAAATCTCTCTCTGGGGTCAGAGGTGAAAGAGCCTCTTGGGCTCCTCCAGAATCCCCAGCATCGTCCTCCCACAGAGGCTCTGGGGCTGACTTGGAGTCAGCCACGTTGATGTCCCGAGACGGAGCCCAATCTTGGAAAAGTTTAGTCCAGGCGGTTGATTTTGGTAGCACTAAAGCAGTCTCGACAAGTGTGTCGGTGTCATTCGATCATGATTCGACGAGCGTGAGCATGTGGCGTCAAAAACCGGAGGGGGGATTCACACTTATAATGATCCATTTTGGGTCTGCAATGTAAACACTATTGGAGACCACGCCTAGTTTAAAAGACGCCAGAACAGTGACTTTACATGCTTCAAAAGAAATAAAGCTATGATCCTGGTTTATCATTGGCCGGCTCTTTCTGAATTCCCAAATTTGCAGTCTGTTGCCTGGCAACAGGCAGGAGGAGAGTCGCGTGGTGCCGTCGAGACAGCACGTCTTCCGTGTTTTGCTAGTCTTCAAAGGATTTCAGTCCTGCATCTTACGAGGCACTACAAGGCGGAAACCAGACCAAGTGAAGTGCAGAGTCGTTGTCAGGTAGATTCTGCTCTCTGTCAAGGTGCATCGAGAGAGTGAGAAAAGTGGAGTCAAGCGAAATCCTCATTCTCGTCCAATCGAGCCTGTGGATAAGAGTACATGGACAACACGTCTTCTGCCATCCTGTCGGGGTCGAGAAGTGGCCGAGTGGTCCATCCAGAATCCCCAACTGTGGGATGAAGGTGGCGAGATGCGAGACTGGGTGGTTGTCTTCTTCTCGTCTTCAGGCCTTCGTTACTCCAGCTTCAGTGGCTTCTCTGTTTCGCTTTCCTGATCGAGCCAGTCAGAGCGTCGGTAGGGAAAGTCAACAAGCGCATGAGAGGAAAACGGGGAGGGAGAGACACGCACAGAGATGCTGTCGATGCTAGAAAAGGCGGCGGGGTGGCGGAAAGGGAGGAGGAGAGGAAGATAGGAGGGGCGTTGCGAGGGAATGGGAGACCGTGGACGAATGGACAGTGGACATGGTCGAGGATTCAATGCAACTCATGCTAAATGCTAATTGCTGCTGTATGCTTGCTAAGGGAAGAGGCGGACAGGCAGGGGGACATGTGGAGAAACAGAGTGCGAGGTGAAGGGGGGGTGGAGCGGGAGGGACAGAGAGAGAGAAAGGAGGAGGAGAGGGTTTAGGAGCCTTTGGGGAGAATGTCGTAATGGTTAGCCAATAGGAGCGAGGCAGTGCAACCCCCTCTAGCTCCCCTCACGCTCGCTCTCTATTAATGCACATCTCTTGCTTCCTTGTACGCACATTCACATCATTCAATGCTCTGCTTCTGTCCAGCGCCTTCACTGTTTCTTATGTTTCCATTTAAACATAGCAGGAAAATAGCATAACACTAACAATATTTTTTCACAAGCCCCCTACTTAAGTACCTATATTACAGGAAACATTATGATTGAATCAGTGAGGAAATGACAATAAACATATATTGACAAAATCTGTCAAAAATATGCTTTAAGGAAAAACTAAAATAATAATAATATATTAATTAATAATAAATATTTGCCCCCCCAAAAAAATACTATATTACAGTCATAAAAAATATACTTAGAATCTCTACAGAGAAGAATGTGAACTAGAAAACATTCCAATGCATTATGACAAAGTGAATGAATAATTTAATCAAGTAAATAAATGTTTTATAATATTTTTGGTTATACACACACACACAAATATATATATACTGTATTTATATATATATACACACACACACACACACACTGTATTATATTCACAAAGAAAAAAGAGAATATCATATACAGTATATAGAACATAAAATACAACATTTAAATGCATTGACAATAGAAAAAAATATTGAATACTTTTTAAATGAATAATAAAAAAAACACACCTGTTTAAATATACACCTAATGTTATTATTTTTGTTACAATATACATTGTTTTCAAGCAGCTTTACAGAAACTCATGACGTGTTATAGTATCTTAATATCTTCACGCCTTGAAGTCGCATTTAGATTAGAACTGGGTGATAACGGTTTATATTTTGCGATAATATAAACAATGACAAGAGAGAACATTTATCATGACTAATTACACAAAAGACATGCTTTGTCTTCAACATGACAAATTATATCATCAGGCTTGTGTGATTCTAGTACCATAAGATTTGATGATTATTTACAAATATTCTCATAGTTCCTCTTTAATGAACACCTGGATTTTAAAGAGCCTTAAAAAGAAACCAGAGAATCCTATTCTGGTTCTCACATCTGCTGTAATTACAGAACAGGGCAGTGGAGTCTATTTCTCAACATTAAATCAGCGGATATGTCCTCGTCCTCTATAGGTTAGCTCAGACACATTCAGGGCAGCGCAACCCGCTCTTGCAATAGCTCCATTTGTCATTCTGTCATTGCAGCTTACACAAAGGTGTGGCTTTGTGGATGAAGCTAATGTATTTGTGCTGAGAACACCGTTAAAAAGCTTTGCAGCAGACAGTATTGGCCAACCGATAATGACACAAATTGAATATACACTTTATTCACATCCACTATAAGAGTCTATGAAAATATTTGTAGTTTATAAGTGGATTTTGTTCCAAAAAGCATAACGCACTCTGTTTTTACCATCCAAGCGTGATCAATTTTGACTGAGCTTTGCTTGTAAATCTCTAAAAAGCACCATACTATATAGTACTAATGCACCACAAATAGTGCTGTATCAATAGAGCCATAGTGGCATTACTGGGCTAATGACCCACAGCTGGATACTGTGTCATCCATAGTGTCGCTGATGATCAATAATGCCACAACAACAAAACCAAATGCACGCATAGATCACTCCGACAGCAGCCATGCGGTTCGGATCAAATTTGTTATGTAGTGTGAACGAGCCAATGTATCGTATGTGGAAAAAGTGCCATTTGCAGTTAGAAAAGACTGCACGAAAAGTGATAAACTGAGGTTATTTCCTGTTCACACAGCCTTTCTTAACCTGTTTTCATGTGTCGTTTTTGTATTATATAAAAATTATATTGAATATATATATATATATATATATATATATATAATTAAGTGCATTTATAATTAAGTTATTTTTTATATGTATATATATATATTATTAAATGTGTGTGTGTGTGTGTATATATATAGATAGATTATATTATGTTTTAAAATACTCAGTAATCAGACTACAGTTACTTTTTTATTAATTACATGATTACATGTTATTCTCACAATGGCAGTAAACTATTTAGAATTCATTGTTTCCCCTTACTACTACTTTTTTTTGTTTAAATTTTCCTTTGAAATATACGCCTACTGCTTATATACGTTAAGAATATCTTCAGGGTTTGTGGAATTGCACACAAATTCCCATAATTACATGAAATGCAGGTATATTTTCTTTCTCTTTGTATTTTATCAATATGGTGTAAGATTATCCTATTCAAAACAATGTGATAAACTACTACTAACTACAATTTTTGTCATGTCATTTATAATCAGTAACCGACTACAATTTGTAAGTAATCTACCCAGCACTGTATAAAATTTTGCATATAACTTAATAAATGGACCCAGAAACACTACAAAAAAAAAGTAAAAATACTTGATTACAGTAATGAAAATACTATAATAATATATTTTATATATATATCGACTGTATCGATTATATATATATATGATAATGGTATTATATTATGATGATATATGAAGTGTTTCAGTAATATTGCTCATAGCAAAACCTAAGATATCAGAAAGACACTACTTGATCATTTTAGTCTCGCATGTGTACCTAACATGTACATGTGTAACATGTGCACATGTACACATGCAGGTAACTAACGGATAGGTCTGTGAACAGCAAACACTTGGGTTTTAAAAAAATCAAGGCAATATTTCTTCTGACCGGCAGAGGGAGACACACTCAATGTTTTTTTTTATTCCTGCTGTATATTAAACTAAAAGCATCAATTCTTCAACCAGGTTTCCCCCACTTTTTAAACACTGAAATGCTATGACTCATTATAAGGATAAAAAAATATTGCACACAGTGTTGTTATTGTTAAATGAAAATTAGAAATGTCACCTTGGCAACTATCTGATATTAGTTAACGTTGAAGTACTAAAATGACAAACAAAAACTGGAATAAAACTAAATTAAAGCTATATATAAACTGATAAAAAATCTAAAAGCACATCAAATTATTAAACAAACTAAGATAACACTGCTCACAAAGAACAATTTGTAGCTAATAGTTTAAATCTTAAACTAGCCTCAATTTTTATGGATTTTATAAATTTACATAAGTTTTCCAGTTTTTCATAATTAGAATGAGTTTTTAAAAATATAATAGTAATAATTTTAAAGAAGACTGCACTCACAGAAAGCAATTTCTAACCAATGAAATATTTTTAACCCAAGCATAACTAGACATTTGCATTACTTTTTAGCGATTTTATTATGTTCCCTCACTTTTCCAAACAATTTAAAACAAGGAAATGTAAGCGTAGTGATGTGCAGTACCTTCAGAAGAGCCAGCGCCACATTGAAGATGATGTTCAACCCCTGTAAAGACATTGAAAAAAAATTATACACACAAAAACAAACACACAGAAGAATTTATTTGAACATCAAACTGCCTGGAACTACACAACGGGCCACATACAAAGACGTTTTATTATAATAAAGACGATACAATTTGGAATAAATGGTTCGGAAGGGCTGCAATGGTGTCTTTGCTCTCTACAAGCAGTGGGAAGTGCGATGCCGAACGCATTTGCATTTCCTAAAATAGCTCGAATCATACAAAGAGCTCAAATGTGTGGGAGTGACAGGAGCTGAAGGAAGAGGCAAACAATCTCGCTCGCACACGCTCAGGTGGACTGACAGGCAGGTTGATGTGCACAGGCACAGTGAAGGACGGGCGGGAGGTGTTGTGTGTGTGTGTGTGTCAGAGGGGAGCAGGTGGCATCGCAGTAGCGAGCGGAGAAGCAATGCTGAAGTCAGCTCCGCATGGAAACACCCGTCTCGAGCATCGCTTAGAGGACCCGTTCACATGGCAACACAGAGCTAAAAATATCCCGTGTTCTCTATTAATAACAGACGGCAGAAAGTATCTGTTCCCGACAGGCTCTAGATGGCGCTAGGGGGCTAAATGGAAATTGCAGGGGGGATAATTATGTGTGTTTGTTGAGGGAGGGATAATACTTTTCTCTTTGGCTTTGGAGCTGTACACTTCGGTTATGTAAGAAATATGATTTTAAAAGCCAAGTTGATATGCTACGATTGCTTGGTATAATCGATACTAGCAAAACTATCTGCATTTACATTTACAGGTATTCATGCAAAGCAACTTACAACAACCTGAACATTCAATCCTTTATCAACTTGAAGAGCCACTATAGAATGTTACAAAATTGCAGTAATTAATTTCAATAACTATTGAGAATAGTCTTTTATTTATTTTAGTTTGGGGTCGGTAAGATTTTTAATGCTAGGGCTCACGACATGAGAAGGGAAATTTGCCTTGATCTTTTGACATATAAGAGGTCACTTCTTAAGACCTCAATGTATCGGGCCATGGATATTAATTTTGTTATGTCTGCATGTGTTTTTTTTTAATGTCAGAGTGAACCTAATCCATTCATTTTAATCTTGTCTCAGTGAACACATAGTGAATAAACTAAATGAAAGATTCCTAGAAAGTGTGAAACAGATGAGTGTGCATTTTTTAACCTATTAAGGTAAATTGGCACACAAGTTGGCACTAGTGGAACAGCGTCTCAGGTTAAAAATAAGAAAAAACAACAACAACAACACATATATATATATTAAATAATAAGACCTACTTACAGATATCTAGTTGATTAGTTTAAAAAGTTATCTTTCAAACATTTTATGCATGTATCCTTGCAAATTTTGGAGAGTCCAATTGTTATTTAATTCTCAATAGCACTCACTGAGTCAACCTGACTTTGTTTCCCAATGGACTGATACCAAATCCTGTGAGCCCTTGGTACCCGGAGATATTGAAAGGCAGCCAATCAGATTAGAGCTTACCAAAGTGAGAAAGAGCTTTCCCGGTTTTGTGTGCGATAGCATTAGATGATCAGTGAACGATTTTCTTTGGATTAGTATTTTGGGACAAAACGTAATACAAATAAACTGAAATGTAAATCTGATTAGGGAAAGATTGCATACATTTATAACAAGTAACTCAAAAGTAGAGGCAGAGCCTTAAAAGAAGGCAGAACATTAAATGAATTAGAGATGAACTGATAGATGGATAAGAAGAGAGAGAGAGGTGTCTCGCAAGCATCTAACAGATTCTCATCATGCGATTCATTGACTGAGACAGGCTAAGGAAACTTTTAATTGTCTTGCCTCGGGCTACCACAGACGCTGAATGAAAGGAAAATTGGAGAAAAGCGATGGGAAAAAAACAAAAGGAAAAGCTCTCAGAGGAGCAGAAAGGTCGAAGCGTTACTTTTGGAAAGACACAAAGCCCATTTCTAAGAAGTCAAAGATGCTTGCTTTGGGAAATCTAACGGAGTTCAAGAAGTTTAGAAACTACTGAACTTTCCATCAGTTCCATGTGCTATTCAAAACCCAATACAACTACACTATTTATTTAGACAGAAAAGAAATACATTTTAAAACCCTAAAAAAGGTTTTTAGGGAGGAAAAAATTATTTAATCCATTAACAGTTTATCTTTAACAGCAGTCATTAACGGGCCCCTATCATGGATTTTTGAAAATGACCTTTCATGTAGTGTGTAACATAGCTCTAGGTGAATGAAAACATCCTGCAAAGTTTTAAATCTGAAAGTGCACCATATATAAAGTTATTGTCTTTCAAAAGTAAGAGTCGACTCTGAGTCAATGAAATGAATTGTTTTTCAAACGAGTCATAAGCCGTTTCACCGTGACGTCAAGATGGAGGTTCGGGGTTGAATAGTTCTTCCAATATTTCATCATCGAACTCGCGCTCACATTGATATGGTAAGATCGACTTCATTGTTAGTTACTGTGTTTAGTTTACGGTGTTGGAAGCCTCAGGACAAGCAGAGCTGACATTGTTATGGCAATAGGCGTTTTTGTTTTCGACGCGAGCGCTGTACGCAACAGACTGAGCTGTCTGGCCAATCAGAGCAGAGTAGCTTGTGGAAAGGAGGGAATTAGAGAGATTGATTCATCTGACGAATCGTTTGAGAATCATTGAAAATGTGATGATATGCAAATGTATATTATGAAGAAATTAACGTTTTTTGACCTTTGATGCATGTAAATATGTTGTAGGAGACTCCAAAACAACATGAGGAAACTTTAAAATAGCATAATAAGGGCACTTTAATCTAGGTTATTGCAAATTTAATCTAGGTTATCTTACATTTTTAGCTATTAAAATTGTATAGATAATAATACAAGTTACTGCTATAATAATTAAATCACAAAGAAGCCAGTATTTTAAATCGGAGCATACTTTACAGATTTTATTAATTTCCATAACTTTTCCTGTCATTCATAATTAGAATAAGAATTTTTTTAAATAATAATTTTGAAGACATCACACGCACAAAGAGCAATTTCTAGCCAATTAAATAATTTACACTTGAGCATAACTAGATGAATTTCAATTACTTTTTACAGGTTTTTATTAAATTTCCCTGATTTTATTAATTTCTCGGTTTAGCATTAGGCCTTATATATAGCATTATAATTATGACCTAAGGGAGATCAATACATTCATAGCATTCATTAATTTAGGTTTATCTTAATTTCTACATATATCACATTTTTTACATTTTACGTTGTATAGATTGATTAATGCAAAATGAACAAACATAAAAATAACAATGAACAATACACAGTATATTTAGAAACTACACAGTAAAAAAATATTTTCATGATTTGTTATCACAACATTTTTTCTTTTGTCAAATCAACTTAGATAATTCATGTGGTTCAGATAACATAATATTTTGAGTTCCTGTTGATTAAACCAATCTCCTTTATTACATTAACTCACATTTTTAATTTCAATGAACTCAAAAGGTTTATGGTAGGTTACTTACTTTAAGTTAAACCAACATTTTTTATTACAGTGTAACATTAACAATTACTAAATGTATTAAATCATGAAACTTGTGCACCTAAGTCCTGCGATAAACCAGTGCAGTATCCAAATGTTGACCAGACGTAATAATCGTTGCTTACTAGGACAAAAATTCCGGTCGATTCACTACAGGTGCGTACAACGGGTACGAACACATATCAATTTGTTCTTACTCTCATTTTATTATTGATGAATTCAGTCCTGCATCTAAATATGCCCACTTCCCTAATATATATAGAATGCGAACAAAGTGTGTCAAATGTGTATTATGTCTAAATGTACTAAAAATACCCACTAAAGTGTAGAATAGAGATGGTTAGAGAAAGAGACCCAATGTCTGTGGCTCGATTTCTATTTATTTTGTGTTACACTAGTTAGTCTAACCCACAGTGACATCTTATTGGTTAAATGACTTGGTTAGGACATGGTTGTGTAATTATGTGACTGGAAAAGGATTTATCACCTCGCACAGGAGCAGGTCGGTGATATGGAAGACCATGCAGAGAGGGAACTTGGCGGTAAACAGTGTTAAGAACCACTGGGACGCGTACATATGGGCTTCCAGGTTCAGGTCCTGGAAGCGAGACCAAAGGTCCGGCAACTGCTCCTGGAAAGAGGAAGTAGAGAAACACCAATGGTTAGCGCAAGGGAAATTAACAAGCATGTTTTTATTAGGATGACAAAGTAATTGTATTTATTTTTTGAAGCAAAGGGGGTGGAGCTTGGAAGTATGTCAAAACAAAAAACAGACAATAGAAAGAATAATGGAAAAAATTATAGAATGCTAAATATAGACCGATAGACAGATATGTAAATAGACTACATTACTACATTTATTCATTTACTCAAATAGACAGACAACAAAATGATAGAAAATAGACAGACAGATAAAACGATAAAATGACAGAGTTAGACAGATATGTAGACAGACAGACAGACAGACAGACAGACAGACAGATAGATAGAACAACAAAATTATAGAGACAGATAGACAGACAGATATATGACAGACCGACAAACAGATAGACAGACAGACAGACATAACGATAGCTAGAACAAGAGACAAACAGATAAAATTATATAGAATGTCAGACAGACTGACCCTTTTCTTTCCACCAGCTTTTAAAGGTGCACTGTGTAATTTTTATTGGCATCTAGTGGTGAGGTTGCAAATTGCAACCAACAGAAGTTGCGGTGGCCGACAGTAAAAGATGTCATCGTCTGAGAGTAGCCAGTTATGCAATGAAGTTTCTTTACAAATATAAATTAAGAAATTAGCTTTACTTAATTATTCAGTAAAACGATATGTTATTGCGAATATTATTGTTACTTGTTCATAACTGTGTCAGTGTTTTATTTGCTGATTTTAGCTAGCTTCTTTCTACGAAGAAGAACACAGTGACAAAACGCGTTTGTCCGTTTAGGGCTACTGTAGAAACATTTCAATGTAAGGGGACCCGCGGTGTTTGTAGATAGAAATTAGGGGTGGGCGATATGGCAAAAATATCATATCACGATTTTTTTCAGGAAAATCACGATTAACGATTTTATCACGATTCTTTTTCATGTTGGTTTTACTATTTTGCAAGTGACTGAGCATTACAGCAAAACTAATGTCCCTATTTTAAAAAAAGCCTTATAGGTAACAAAAGAAAAAAGAATGGCAGACATTTAGGCCAAAGTGGCGAAGATAAAAATCTTTATCATTATTTTCTTTGTTATTAAGAATTAGGAACAAAGATACACATTAAGCATACACAACTTAATATACAAATGAAATAAACAGTGCTTTATTTTTTCAGCTACAGTAGGGGTATTTAACAGTAGCATTGAAGAAAGTAATTAGGCTAAATGAACAAATACGAAAATAAAACACAACATAGACTTCACTGTATAAATTATACATTGATTATTATTAAAGCTACTACTAAAGTTCTCAGTCAAGAGCAGTGAGTGATTTCCTCTTTGTGTTTTGTTGTTTTATTAACATTAAAGGGATAGTTCTCCCTAACATTTTAATTGTCATCATTTACTCTCTCAAGTTGTTTTAAACCCGAATAAGTTTCTTTCTTCTGTTGAAAATAAAAGTTATTTGGAAGAATGTGGCTAACCAAACAGTTGCTGTACTCCAGTGACTTCCATAGTATATGTTTTCCTACTATGGAAGTCAATGGGGACCAGCAACTGTTTGGTTTGCCACATTCTTCCAAATAACTTTTATTTTCAACAGAAGAAAGAAATTAATACAGGTTTGGAACAACATTAGAGTGAGTAAATAATGACAGAATTTTTATTTTTGGGTGAACTATCTCTTTAAGGACAAGAGGCAGCTTGTTTACTAACTGGCTACTGTCGCTTTAAGAGCTGCACGCGACGCGTCTAATATACACGCATTTGACAAGCCGATTTTCTCTCATTTTTTTTCTGTTTGCTTTCACTTTAGACATAACCAAGTTTGTTTATGTAAACCTTGTGTGTATTTGACAATATTAGCGCAATAAGACTCGAAAGATAACTTATAACGTAGTCCAGTAAACAGACGCTGTTAGACAGGCTTTTAGTGCCCTTGTGCTTCGGGTGTATGCGCTCAGAAAGCACACGTCAGAACAGCGCATCAGCAGTGAATTACATGTTTAACCAGCAAGGCTTTAAAGCACATGCAAATAATGAACTTCTGTGAACTGCAGTGTCCCGTTCCTCTGCGTTAACATTTGTTTTATGTTGAGACAGAGCTCGGCGCCAGAACTGCAACTGATAAAATGCACGATACTACGATATTTCTTCAAAAGCAGATCGTGGAGACATTTTAATCGTCCACGATCAAAAACCGTGATATCGCACTCCTAATAGAAATGGCTCATTCTAAGGTAATAAAAACATTACGGTTCAGTATGTAGGGTCTTTATACACCACTGAAAACATAGTAATGTAAATGATATTGCATTTCTGTCTACAGATCCTCCTAAATATTACACAATGCACCTTTAAAGCATTTCTTTCAGGAGTGTAAGACTGAACTACAGCACAGGGTCAAGAGTGCAGTAATAACGCACCTTACACAAACAGCATCTAAATCAAAGACCTACACGTGCTTTGAACTCTGTTTGTTTTCTGTTTTTAAACCATAACAAAAAAATAAAAACCAAAACAAATGTCTAAAAATAAATAAAAACTATAAAAAATTGCGCAAAAAAAATAAAAAAAAATAAAAATAAATCACCTCTTCTCATCAAGCTATACAATTTGAGGTTCCATTCAGTCTAAAGCAGGAAAAGTACATGCCAAAGTTAGGGGTTTGTTTAGACCAATAACCCTAGGTATGAGAAACGGCAACAGTGATGCTTGCCTCAAAAAAGCGTGTCGCTCTATGTATTCAGAGACCAAGCAGAGAATAAATCAAAGACGTAACCGACATCTACAAAGGGACATCTTAAATTAGCATCTCAAAAAGAGATATAGGAGCTGGATAGGATCTTCCGGAGCGGGAAGACTGAATATTTTTCAGGGGTAAATTGCATTGTCAGATCAGAGAGGTGGGAGCGTTGTGTTAACACATGCAAAGTAAATGACAACAGAGGAAGAGATTCTTCCAGTGGCACGTATGGCACATTTTACATGATCAATGCTAACACTCTTGCAGTAGCAGAGCTAGTCGATACTAACCAGGTTGGGTTTAGCGCCGAAAGAGGCTACTTCAGGCCTAATTGCATTTCAGCACAAAATTAAAACCCATTTTCCAGCGCATTGGGTCTAATAGCTTACACGGGGGCCACCGCTTACACTCGAGGCGCTCATGAGAGCTGAATGAGTCTGTGTGTCACACAATCTCTCAACTAACACTCAAAGGCCAAACCTGCAGCAGACGCTCCAGCTGGTAGAACTTGCAGTGAAGATCTTCAAAGTTGTTTTTGTAGAGCTCTCGGAGACCATAGTTGTACATGATCTTCACCAGCACGCAGAAAGCTTGCTCCTCGGGCATCTAAGGAGAAAAAGTGAACGATATCGGCACAATATTTTTAGATGATTTCAAATGCTAATGATTTCTCCACGAATATGCTGTGATAAACACAACCAACCCATGATGTTTAAATGTGTCAGCTGCAGTGTCTACAGTGATGAAATCAGAGTTTGTTTGTGTTTGTGAGACGGAGAGTGAGACAGAGAGCTGGGTATTAAATCACACAGACAGCGTGTGTGTCCCGAGCTCAATGGGCTCCTGCAGGTATACGGGCTCTGTCATTAATATTCCTGACAGCTCCTGAGCTTCCTGGGCAAGGCCACGAGAAAGACACTTACACTATATTATAGAAATCCCCAAACGCACTCTAATATCAAGCCTCATACGGGCCGCTGTCGCAGAGAAACAAAAAACGGCATCTTATTCAACCCTCACTTTAATTAAATATGAGATTAACCGTTTCATCAATGTCCTACCCTCGCTTCCTGTTGCTCTCTGCCTATTATTAATGTAGGTCCTGAAAAAGTCAAGGATAAAGCACAATGAAGAAGTTTTTATTTACACTATTATTAGTGTTATTATTTAGCTAGCTACTGTAGCTAGTAATGAACATGTCAAAAGTGTAGTGAACTCTGTCTCAAAAACACTGTTTAAATTGTTGATTTGCCATCAAAGGAGTTGAGCTTAAAGATAAAACTGACCTAAAAGGATATTTACATAATGCCCAGTAAGAAAAAGTAATATATTTCTGTTGCGGTATAAATTCGGGCATTTTTTTAAATGTGACCGTATTTTTCAGGTTAGTGTCTCAAAAAAAGAACGATTAAAAACAAATATAAATACATAAACTAAATATTTAATAATAAATAAAATTAATTAAATACAATAAAATAAAACGAAAATGAAAGAATTAATGAAACAACACTAAAACAAACAAAACACACAAAAAAAAAACACAAACCAAAACAGAAAACAAAAAATAAAAACAAACAAAAACACAAAAATAAAACAAAAACAACAAAACAAAACCAATTGTAAAAAAAAAATAAAAAAAAAACCCTCCTCAACTAAACAGATTATTTGGGGTAAATTCGGGGTAAATACTTACATGTAAAAGTAATACGGCGGCCAAAAAGGATTGACCTTGGCAATAACCAATCTCCTCATCATACACAGAGTAAGCCTGTGGAAAAAACATCAGTTTAGATATTGTGCACATAAACAAAGCTTTCTGAATAAAAGAATAAAAGTCTTTTTTGTCTGTTTTTTATTTTATTTTATGTAATGCTATTACTTAATATTCTGAAACATTTTTGACGTTATCAATAATAATACAAAATAATATATATATATATTTTAAAAAGTATGTTATTTAGAGAAACAAACATTTTATATTAAAAATAAATATATATTCAAAAAACAACAACAACAACAACAACAAAAAAACAGTATGTTAGATGTGTAACATCTGGTTCTGCCCTACATTAATTAGCATTAAATATTTTTAAATGAATAAATAATTTGTTGTAAATGCTGCTTCATGCTGTCTTTAAATCACAAGCAGTTATAATTGGGCTTAATCATATGTAAATGACTGGAAACAGATAAACTTTCTTGGCAACATATGCCGCTGCCAGGATTAGCTGGATTGAAGGTCTTTTGCACAATTTAGGAGCCTTTTAATCTGTCGGTGCCAATCAGCTGATGGAGAACCTCTTAAGACTCCTCACAAAAGAGATTTAACAGAGAACAGGACAACTTTCACTCCTTTTCTCCTCCACTCAACGCTTTTCTCCTGTTTTTCTATAATACATCATTTAATATACATTCATTTACATTTTTTAATTATAATTCTGGCAAGAAGCATAGTTTATTGTTGAATTATGATTGGAAAGCAACGTCACTTGATGCACTATACAGAATTTCTGGTCAAAGGTGTCGACGTTTTTAAACGCTTCTTACATGGCTCATTCATTCAGATTTTAGAGCCAGAACCATCCGTTTAATCATATAGATCTGGATAATTGCTTGTTAGATAATAACTGCATTAGTTCCAGCTTCATTTCTAAATATAATAACAGATCTATGATGCGTAAACTAGCATTTTGGATAGGTTTCACCCATCTCAGGGATGTAGATTTGCAACAGATAGCAGGATGCATGGAGGCGAGTACAGCACACGTGGTTGGATATCTACCAAGGCCGTTACAGCAAAACAAAAGGTCAGTGGAAAGAGATGTTGCAGCGTGTCGTGATGCTTGTTATCAGACGGTAGGAGTGAGTCATGTCTGGAGGATGCGCCGCTTTCACCTCACCTTGCAGATCTTGTATAGAGAATCTTGGCCATCGCCTCCCGAGTCTTTGAAGTAGTCGTGAGCAGGGAAGGTGCGATGGATGTCTCTGGTGATGACGCCTTCCTGGGCAGAGTCCTGTGGGTCCAATAAACAGTTACAATCAGGCATTTTTGGGAGCCTTTTTATTTGATCAAAAAATATTTTGTATTTTATAATTATTTTGATTATTATTATAGAACTTATAACACATAATATAACTTAACTTTTTATTGTATCCATTTAATATTATTCAATTATTATTTTATTAATATATAAATACTATTTTATTGTTATATTTATATAAATATTTGTATTAAAACTTTATTTATTATTATTATTATTATTTAATTATTATTTATAATGATTTGTATCAATAAATGAATAAGGTTTTTAGTAATATTAGTAATTCTATTATACATGTTTACTATCATTATTATTATTAATAGTTAGTTATCCATTAAAACATTTCATTTAAAATTAAAACTGATGTATAATAATGATTTTGTATTATATTTCTGTTTATAAATATATAAATCAAATGGTTGTATAATAAAATGTTTTATTGTAATTTAAGTATTAATTATTAGTTATACTTATTTAAATAAATATTTAATAATAATCAATCATTCTGCATGGTTTTATTTATTATTGTTTACCATTATTTTATAAAACACTACTGTATTATAACAATATTCAATTTATTACTAATATTTAATTAGTCATGGTTATTTAACAACAACAACAACAACAACAACAACAACAACAACAACAATAATGCCCCACAATAAATTAAATGCAATTTTATACAGTTATTTTGGGAAAATAACCCAAGTCAGATTCTAGACTTTGTGGATTTTCTGATGCTTTTTTTTAGGAACAGTGACAGATACAACAGCAAATAGGGAAACAAGTGTGTGATCCAAACCAGATAAGTGTGCAGATAACAGTACAGATGAGGTACTATCACACATGCAGCCTGCACTGGAAAAGCTCAATTACTAACAATGTGATGGTCATTTTCTCTACAGTCTTTGATCTCCATCCATGTTCCTTTAAGCTCCAATACAAACAAGCTTGAGCTTGACTGAGGACAGTGAAGTAGCACGTATAATGTGTATTTTGGCAAGAAGACACAAAGAAGATTCCTTGAGTGAAGAAATAACCTTGTGTGAAGTGTTTACAGACTTGAGTTGAGATAGATTAAGAAGCGCAGGAAAGTGTCTTACTCAGCACAGCACACTCTTCAAAGCGGGACACAAATCGAATTAACAAGTCAAATGCAGACGGCGTTCCAGTCAAATGATGGAGAACATGAACAGACTCTGACATGCAAAGCAGGGCTGAAACTCAGGACCAGAGCCAAGAGAGGCACTTAAAAGCATCTACTCTGGACCAAACTGACTTCAGAATGAGAGTTTTGCCATGTAGAATTATGGGAAATGTAGTTTTGCTGCACAAGCCTGTCAGAAACCGGCTAAACGAGCAGAATATTAATCAGTTGTCTTTCCTATCAACTCTTGAGTGAACAGATCGGTGGACTTCACGCCGTGGCAACATCAGACGGTGACTGCGGAAATGTCTCTGACAGGCTGAGTTGTAATAAGGTCCATTCCATTAACAGCGTGTGTCAGGGCTAATTAAAGGCATCATTAGTCAACTAATGCGAGAGAGGGAAGGACAGGTTTCCACCTCCCCTCACCTGTTTACACTGCGTCTGAGAGTTTGTTAAAGGGTGGGCAGAATAAAGCCTGACGGATGAAGCAAATCTTTTAAATAAGGTGAATCTTATAAGTATGGGTCTTATTTGCATCTATATGGGTCTTTTATCCATCCATCCATCCATCCACAGCTGAAGTTGACTTACTCTTGTACATCCTGATTAATGCTACCTTCCCTTTTCTCTTCAACATGCATGCTATGAATAATGCATCCTTCTTTTCTGCCATTTCTCCATATACATGATTCGGATAAATTCTTGATGACAGTACAGAGCACAGCACACCCATTTGTGTAACTTACTTCATCAGTTTACATTTATGCAGAGGAAAAACAAGGTCATAAAGGCCATTTCCAATGAAGGTCACCACAGCATATGTGCAAGTGGGAGCATTATGTTTTTTTTCTTAATGAATAATCAAGAACAAGCACAAACAGAACCAGCACTATATATATATACAGCAGTATATAGACATGTATGTATATTATCAATGTTGGAGACAGTTATGTATAAGAAGAAGAAAAAAAAGGATTCTCTGAAATAGAAAGCTTTTGTAACATTATACGATACCGTTCAAAAGTTTGGGGTCAGTAAAAGGGGGGGGGGGGGGGGGGGGGGTGGGGTCAATACTTTTATTCAGCAAGGATGCATTAAATTGATCAAAAGTTGCAGTTGCAAAATATTCCATTTTCAAATAAATGAAATAGAACTTTCTATTCATCAAAGACCTTTGACCTTTGCTCAGCAATGACCTTTAGAGGGGAATATATAAAATCTGCATTTTTACAGCGAGTGCCATTTATGGCGTGTTTTGCAACAGCAACAAAAAGACTCAAAGCTGTAATTTTGTCACAGTATGGGGTTAATCACACCATGGTGTATGATTGAGTTCAGCGGACTGTTTCACTGTCGCTCCCTTCCTCTCTTTGCATCCATCCCTCTCACCCCCATCACTCTCGCTTCACGCAGTGTGCATGAAAATGAAATGCTGCCTCATAAACTGCGAGTTAGTGACAAATGGTATTCATAAATAAAGCCAGAGATACAGGCTGCGAATGGTAATGTGGCCACTAAACATCTGTGAGGCTCAGCAATAGCAAAACCGCCCAGACCAGAGACCCAGGGAGGGGATAAACAAAGGGATACAATCTGATTACATCCATGGCAAAAGCTTGAGTAAACTCACTGCCGGCTTCCCGACAGGTTTGGGTTGACGGGATGCGTGGTCACAAATAACAGAAGGCCAGTCAGATTTGTCCAGGCTCCTGAAGAAAGATAAAACCCCTGACCTTCAGGGACATTGATCTGAGGGATCTTCAACATGGGTGGGAGTTTATTAGAAGGACGCGAGTATCCTGGGTTTGTCTACATGAAACTGAACCAGTAGAGCCAGGCGCTAGCTAGCAACACAAAGGTTATGGGTTCGATTCCCAGGGAACACATAAACTGGTAAATGGCCAATGTTAAATCAAAATTTTTGTGAAAACTAAAAGTAAAATTAATGGTTTTAAATACAGTTAATTTAGGCATCACAACTCACAACATCACAAATATTCAACTGTGAGTGATGGAATCTAAAAAAAAAAATCCAGAAAATCACATTGTATGATTTGTAAGTAATTATTTTGCATTTTATTGCATGACATAAGTCTTTGATCACCTACCAACCAGTAAGAATTACGGCTCTCACAGACCTGTAAGTTTCTCTTTTAAAGCTGCAGTCGGCAAGTCTGACAGATTGAGTGGATTTTGGAAAATTTTGAATGTTTACAACTCTCATGCCCCTCCCCCACTATCAACGGACACCCTCCCACAGTCCCCCCGAGTTCATGCTCGTCAGTGCGTGTGCACCAGATTTTCAGTGAACGCGCCCGTCTCAACAGTATCCATCAACACCATGGAGTATTTGGAGGTATGCTGTCCTGGCTAATCTACCGACAGATTGCAATTGCTAACGTCATTTATACTCTAAATGAGCTTACTTGATTTTCCGCCATCACTCTTCGTTACTGCGCGAACTTCTGCGAACTTCAGGCGTGTGCATGTGATTGTAACGTGCGTGAGGGGTGGCGTGTGCCCGATCTGTGATTGACAGTCAGATCTCACACCCCCTGCGCTGATTGGACCCGATGAACCGGGAGCTGTGGATTTTTGCAAAACAAATAACACGCTGATGGAGTTAGAATCTCGGTTTTTTTTCTAAAACCACTTTATTTATGTTGTTCTGTCAGATTATAGTGTCGATTTCACTGAATATGATCAAAAAAATGTTGCCGACGGCAGCTTTAAGAAGCCCTCCTGTTCTCCACTCATTAACCTGTATTAACTGCACCTGTTTGAACCCGTTACCTGTATAAAAGACACCTGTCCACACACTCAAACAAACAGACTCCAACCTCTCCACAATGGCCAAAACCAGAGACCATCTGGATGATCCAGAGGAGGAATGGGAGAAGGTCATGTGGTCTAATGAGACAAAAATAGAGCTTTTTGGTCTAAACTCTACTCGCCGTGTTTGGAGGAAGAAGAAGGATGAGTACAACCCCAAGAACACCATCCCAACCAGAGGTTAAATTGGGGCGGAGCGCACCGGATGGAGCTCCGCCTCCTCGGGTCCAAAACACACCCTGCCGGAGCTCAGCTCCGTCTCCTTCAGCACCAAATATATACATTTTGTTGAGTGTATATAATGAAAGTTATGAAATAATTGGCTAATATTAACTCGAATTTGGTGCTGCAATGATTCGCCCATCGCAACGATAACTGACCATCTCGTCTGAGCTGCTTCAGCACTCACCCGCTCGTCAATGTCAAAATGTTTGAGTCCAATCAAAGCAAGTAGGATTTATGTTCACAGAAGCGCAAGCCGAGCGCGAATCCCAACGCGACGCTTCACAACGGGCATACCGTGCGAGATAAGATCATAGACAGTAAAAGGATAAGATGCAAGTAGCTAATCTAAAGAGCTGTTTGTCGATAGAAGTTTGAAATGATCGACAGAAATAATCAGTTTGATCAAAGACAGTGGATACTATAAGCTCAATTTAACAACACAAGCACCCTATTAAATATATTGCCATTATTATTGTAATATATTTGTATAATGTTACCTCGAATGTGTTCGACTTTTCACTGTTTGTATCACTCCGCTTGTTCGTGTTTGCGCAACACACATCATTAAGCCAGAAGGCGGCGACAAGTGACTGTCTTTATGAGTGAGCAATTGAACCACTGAACAGATTAGCTAGTCCAAAAATATTGATTCATTTAGGAAAGAAAAAGTAGCTGAAACTGATCTTTGATGCTCATACCAGAGCCATAGAGAGAAACAAAAACCACATTCAGAACTCTCTATGGCTTTGGCTCATACTAATTGCTC